TGCGCACATGTGTGCACGTGCTTATGACATATCTTTACCCAGAACTACATCACAAATTCTAACAGAATTGTTTAGTTAATGATATATAAACACTGCAGAAGTGGCCTAGAAATCTTTTGTTTCATTGGTGTGAGCCTCTAAGAAAAGGACATTTTAATATATTTAGATGGATGCCTAATTCTTTTATCTGCATGATCTCTTAAGAATGTTTTCAAGCAGAGGATCCCTGGGTGGCTCAGGAGTTTAGTGCCTGCCTTCGGCCCAGGGTGTGATCCTGGAGTCCCTGGATCTAGTCCCACGTCGGGCTCCCTGCATGGAGCCTGCTTCTCCCTTTGCCTGTCTCTCTCTCTGTGTCTCCCATGAATAAATAAATAAATAAATAAATAAATAAATAAATAAATAAATAAACTTTAAAAAAAAAAGAATCTTTTCAGGCAGCCCAAGAAAGGCAAAAGAGAGGTAGCAATGAATCATCAATCAATAGCCTTTTCTGGTCTCTCTCTCTCTCTCTCTCTTTAATCGAGAAGCTTTAAAGATCATATATACTTCACTTACGATGGTGAAAGATAGAAGGATCACAAGAGGACAGGGTTACTTGGTGGGGAGGAGGACCGAGGAATAGAAAGAAGGTGGAGGAGACAGGAAAACTGGCAAGAAGAAGCAGTCAGAGATGAGGGGAAAACGGGGGCGGAGTATCCCCCAAACTCACGTTGTCACTTAGAATGGCCAGCACAGGGAATTTGCAGTAGCTGCAAAAATTATTTGTAGCTCTTCATATTATTCCACCTCTATAAAATTCCATATGTGAAAAAGAAAGTGTCTCCTCATATTCATCTCCATGTAGTCATGCCTTTAATACACATTTATTGAGAACCAGTGATGTGCCAGCCCTGTGCTGCGAGCTGAGGGATGCAAAGCTAGTTAAGACTTTCCTCAGGAAGTTAGTCTGTAGTCTAACTGGAGAAAGAGACAGCTTTTTAAAAATGCAGTATTGGGGGGGGGGTGCACCTGGATGGCTCATTTGGTTAAGCGTTTGCCTTTGGCTCAGGTCATGATCTCGGGATGCTAGGATGGAGCCCCACATTGGTTCCCTGCTCAGCTGGAAGTCTGCTCCTCTCCCTCCCTCTGACCTTCTCTCTCTCTCAAGTAAATAAAATATTTAAAGAAATTTTTAAAAATGTAATGTAAAGGAATAAGTGACACAGTAGGAGGTTTCTTGACTATGTGGTCCAGAGGAGGCCCAAAGGTGGATGGAATTGGTTTTGTCTGGGGCACATGGAAGTCTTCAGTTGGGGAAGGCGTCTGCATAGCAGGGCAGAGGATGGGTGTCCCTGCAGGGAGACGAAATCATTAAAAAATGGCTGAAGAGGGGATGACCATTAGAGCCTTGTCTTTCGTCTTTCAAAGTAATTTGAAGTTGGTTCTTTAGGCAAGTGATTTTCTTTCTTTTTTTTTTCTTCTTCTAAAGGTTTTATTTTTTTATTCATGAGAGACACAGAGAGAGAGAGGCAGAGACCCAGGCAGAGGGAGCAGCAGGCTCCCTGCGGGGAGCCCATTATGGGACTTGATCCTGGGGCCTCGGGATCACGCCCTCAGCTGAAGGCAAATGCTCAACCACTGAGCCACCCAGGTGTCCAGTGATTTTCAATATCAGGTCCCTGGCAGGGCTACCTGCCTACGAGCCCCTGGAGATCCTAACTCAGCCTTTCATGGCTCCTCTCAATCTCTAGCTTCCAAAGGCTCTCAGGTTTAGAAACTACTGCTTTAGGCCCTACAATTTCCACTGGAGGAATTTAGGTGGGGTGAGAACATCATCGGACTGGCATTTCAGAAATATCCCTTCAGCCAAAATGTGGAATTGGGACTGAGGGGGAGGCTGGAGACTGACTGAGAAGCCACTCTGGAGGCCAGTGAGACACAGAGTGACACCTGCCCTAAGGCAGTGGCCGTCAGGATGGGGGCGATGAGACCTGGGATCATGTGGCAACCCTGTAGCTGTAGAGAAAGGAGACCAGAGTCTGGGTTTCTGGTTCCCAGGGCAGCTCGGTAGACAGTGGCCCAACCCATCAAGATGGAAATCAGGTTTGGGGGAAGAGAATGAGATACTTTGGGGGCACAATGAGCTGGTGCTTTCAGGGGGCAAGTGTGCAAATGGATGCTGCCACTTGAGTGGGGAGAGGGGTTTGACCACAGAAATAAGTGGGTCGCCCAGTCAGAGTGTGAGCGAAACCAGTAACCAGAGAGCCAACAGCTGATAAGCAAAGCGGGGACTCTCCCCATTTCGGCCTCTTCACAGAATGCTGTCTGCCTCTGAGAATAATATTCTTGCCTGAGGCTCGGGATAACCAAGTGCTCATTAGGTTGTTGGGGGGCGGGGGGGGGGACTCCAGGTTTCATCAAGAAACCGGCTGGAACCGGCTGGGACTACTCACCTCCTCTTAGAGACCAACAAAATGAGATGAACCCTCCTTTACTTAGTAACTTCCTGTATCTGATTTTGATCACCAGCTCCTGTCCCCCTCATGCAGAAAGCCCCCAACTCTTCCCTTCCAGACGTGGATTTGAGGCTCTTGTCCCCATCTCCTCCTTTGGTGGCCTTTCAGATAAGCTCCCTCCTTGCTGCATATTGCATGTGTCAGCCCAGGGGACGGACGAGGGTCCTGTGACACGAGGAGGGGACAAGGGAAGAGAATTCTGCTTTCAACCTTGAGCGCAGGTAGGACAGTGAGCAGGGGGTGGGAGGAGGCAGGGAGACTGGCAAACCAGTAAGAAGGAGCCAAGCTCCCGAAGGAAATGAGGGCATGGAGTCCTCCCCACTGGGAGGACAGCCTTGAAGCAGGGTGTGGTCCGTGTCTCCCCAGAAGGCCCCCTCCCACTCCGCAGGGGCAGCCGGGGAGGCGAAGCCACCCGCCCGGAGGGGAAGGCGAGGAGCCAAGCTGGAGACCTCCCTCAATTATTTGTAATCTCTCTGCAGATTCGGGCAGTGCTCAGCAGCCTTTCCTCCTAGAGACTGAAGCTGGAGGGCGCTTGGGGCCTGGGTGTAGCTCCAGCAGCCCTAATTGCTGAGTGAGAAGCGGCTGGAGAGCTTTGGTGACCCAGCCTTGGGGGGTGGGGGGGGTGGGCGGGCTCTAAGCTGAGCATCGCTGGGTGCGTTTCTTCTGGTTTGGGCAGCACATGCCCAGCGCCCCGAAATCCTTCTAGAGGCTGCAAAAAAAGACAAAGGACCGTAAAGAAGACGACACCGAGGAAACCTTCCCCTCTATTCTCTGCTCTCCACTCTCTTTGTTTTGCTTTAAATGAGTTTAAATGAGTCGTTATGCTTCACAAAGGACAGTAATCAAGACCCTGGTTGTGAGAGGAAATAGGTTTTATTTTACAAGCTCCCCCCTGCCCCCGCCCCATCCAGCAATATTTAGTGTTTCTCATCTGAAGATCTCAAGCCTCTTTGGGGCCACACAGTCATCTATTCGGTACTCCCCCTGAAGGAAGAAAGAACAATTTTCTGTTTTGTAGGGCGGTGCTGGGGAGAGCTGATTTGGGCAGACCGGGTGCTGTGAGTACATTCATCCCCCTACTCATTCAGAAGGTATTTACTGGCTGCCTACTCTGTGCATGAAACTATGCCCTGCCCACGGGGACACAGCCAGCTGGGCAGACAAGATGCAACACGCACGCGAAGTTTGCACGGCCTAGAAACAAGGGCCCGTGCCGTTCCTCACCAAGGGCCATGCAGAAGGGAAGAGCTGCCGTTCGCCAGGCCTGGTCCCTATAGCCCTGTCTGTTCGCAGGGGGGCGCAGGCGGCGGAAGGGGGCCTCCCAGTGACACACAGCATGGTGGCCAGCAGCACGCAGACCCCTGCCCCCTGCGAGCTCTCAGCCTCCTCCTCTGCAAAATGGGTACAAGTCCAGCTCTCCCAGTTGATTGAAAGCCTCTGTAGTAAGTAGGGCTGATGTCGGTCTTCCCCTTCCATCCCACGCAGTCCCCACTGGCTTGCTCTCCCCACCCCCACCCCCCGCCCCCAGAACCCAGCTCCCCACCCCCAGACCACTTCTCACGCCATCAGGACTTCTGAGGCTTTGTCTGGCACCCTCAGCAGCCTGTCGCTGTGCAGTCTCCCCCTCTCGGCACATAGTGGGGACTTTACAAAGCTGTGTTCAATCAGGGAACAAAGAGCCTTATAGGGACAGAGTAGACGTGTGGTCTGAGCCAAGGCTGGAATTGCTTGGGTGATTCAGAGGACAGTGACTCAGCCTGTTGTGGGTGTGTGTGGGAGCACAGCGAGAGACAGGGACCCAACTGTGGCACGTCGTCGTCTGTGTCCGCGCAGCAGGCTGAGGATCAGGGCTTTGTTCTGCTGGTACAGGGAGAGGCCCGGGGCGGGGGTGGGGGGTTCTGGGCAGGGAGGTGTGGGGGGGCTCCAACCTGCATCCCTGTGGGAGGACGGGAAGGGCAAGGGTTTGCGCGATGAACGCTGCTGGCCATTCTCAGAGTGGGAATAGAAAGGCAGCAGGTACAGTACAGGAGTATACGTGTCTGTAGCCACCAAAGAGCACTGCAGCCACCGATGGGACAATGACATTTATATTTCAAAAATCCAGACAAGGGCAGCCCGGGTGGCTCAGCGGTTAGTGCCGCCTGCAGCCCAGGGCGGGATCCTGGGGCCCGGGATCGAGTCCCGCGTCGGGCTCCCCGCATGGAGCCTGCTTCCCCCTCTGCCTGTCTCTCTCTCTCTCTCTCTCTCTCTCTGTCTCTGTTTTTATGAACAAATAAATTAATAAATCTTTAAAAAAATTAAAATAAAAATCCAGACAAGTTTCATTCAGGCTGTAGCAGAATGACCTCAGCCTCTGAGCAGGGATGGATCTGAAACTCTGACCTTCCCCTCCTAAGGATGCCAGCCTTGGAAATAAGGCCAGTTCTCCGCACCTGCATGGGATTCTCTCTGGAGCCTGGGGGGACGGGGCGGGGGGGGGGGGCGGTGAAGGATCTGAACTCCCTCCTAGCTTTTGTGCTCACTCTGATTCTCAGGAGACGCTTGGCAAAGAGGGTTTTCTGGAGGGAATGTGTGTGTGTGCACATGCGGGTGTGTGTGTGTGCATGCGTGCCTCCCCCCACCCCACGCTTGTGGGGTGACTTCCCCCCCTCCTTCTCCAGCTCCTATCCGGAGCTAAACACTGTCCAGTTGCTGCTGCCTCTAAACCCTGTTATGAGAGTCTTGGGGCCTCAGTCACCCTGCGCTTGCAAGATCCCACAGACCCACACTTGTGGGAGAAGGCGCTTGTGGGGGGGGCGGGGAGGACAGGCGGGTTCCAACAAACCTCTGGGGCCGCAGGCAAAGAGCTCATGGCAAAAGTGACTATTGGAAAAAAGCTCACGGGTGCCAGCTTTTACATTTTTTCCAGGATGAATTAATTGGGCAAGGATGATGACTCATGTTGGCACGTCGAGCGGGAATAGCCAATGCACGCTAAAGGGGCAGGTGGAGGAAGAAAGGTGCGTGGGGAAGGGGGCACGCGTGGGAATGCATGTGGGAAAGGGCCGCGGAGAGCACCGCAGCCTGAGGAGACGTGGAGGAGATGAGGAGGGCAGCTGAGAAGTGCCCCCCGCGGGAAAGGAAGGATTCACTGCTGCTGGGCTAGCCGGCCCTCCCCGGGCTCCCGACTCCCTCTGGGAGTCTCTAACCTCTTGTATAGGACTGCAGGCGGTGGGCAGCCGGCCCCCCAGCGTTTAGCGCTGCTTCCAGCCCGGGGTCTGGTCCTGGAGACCCGGGATCGAATCCCACGTCGGGCTCCATGCATGGGGCCTGCTTCTCCCTCTGCCTGGGTCTCTGCCTCTTCCCCCCCCCCCCCCCCCGTGTCTCATGAATAAATAAAATCTTAAAAAAAAAGAAAAGAAAAAACAAGCAGGAGCCATGGGCCCATGTCATGAGGCTCCCCCACCTGCAGGGCACTGTACTTTCTGTGCTTGCTATGAGTCTGCCGCCGCGCCTCTCTTACCACCTCCACTCAGCCCGAAGCTCGGGGGGGCTTCACACAGTAAGCCAAGGGTAGAGCTCAGAATCTGAACCCCGACAGGCTGGCTCCCCTGCTCACCAGCGTGCCAGCAAGGAATCCGTACCCTGTCCCCATCCGCAGTCTGTTAACAAGTCCAGTGCAGTAGGCTTTTCTTGGATGTCAAGGGAAAACCCTTTTGGATACTGTACAGCCCCGGGCACATGGCAAGGGCTGCGCTGGATGCTCGCTTATTTCCTCCGTTACTTCCCATCCTCAAGTGTAGCCATTACTGTGTCCCTTTTTTTTTTTTTTTAAAGATTTCTTTCTTTCATTCATTCATTCATTCATTCATTCATGAGAGACACAGAGAGAGACAAGCAGAGACACAGGCAGAGGGAGAAGCAGGCTCCACGCAGGGAGCCCGACGTGGGACTCAATCCTGAGACTCCAGGATCACGCCCTGAGCCACTGTCAGGCGCTAAACCACTGAGCCACCCAGGGATCCCCCCCTCCACTTTTTTTTGATGTTAAGATTTTATTTACAAAGCTTCTTTGTTGTACAGAAAGTAAAAATGCCGTTACAGTCTCGGTGTAACTGGAAGCCACAGACGGCGGGCTCAGCAATCACAGCTCTCCACGCTGCAGACAGCAAGTCTGACACGAAAACCTAACAACGCTTGCAATTTTGTTGGGGTGAAGTCCCTAGCTGGGTGGTGAATTTCCAAGAAGGGCTAAATAGAGGAAGGTGCAGTGTCACAGGAACTATTATTTGGCTCTTTGGGTGGGTGGGTGTCCTGGGGCTTGTATCATAGTTACTTATTATTATTATTTTTTAAACAGCTACCAAATCCATATGAGCAGTCCAACCAATCCTGAGCAGTTCTTTCTTTGCAAGTTATTTGGGGTTTTGATCCTCTTCTCCTTCATCGTCTGATTCTCTCTTCCTCTTTTCACCTTTCCTCTTCTTCATCTTCATCCTCATTGGTGTCCATCAACAGATGAATGGATAAAGAATCTATGTATACACTGGAATGTTCCTCAGCCATTAGAAACGACAAATACCCACCATTTGCTTCGACGTGGATGGAACTGGAGGGTATTATGCTGAGTGAAGTAAGTCAATCAGAGAAGGACAAACATTATATGGTGTCATTCATTTGGGGAATATAAAAACAATAGTGAAAGGGGAATAAAGGGGAAAGGAGAGAAAATGAGTGGGAAATATCAGAGAGGGTGACAAAGCATGAGTGACTCCTAACTCTGGGAAACGAACAAGGGGTGGTGGAAGGGGAGGTGGGCGGGGGATTGGGGTGACTGGGTGATGGGCACTGAGGGGGGCACTTGATGGAATGAGCACTGGGTGATACGCTATATGTTGGCAAATTGAACTCTAATTAAAAAAAAAAAATCCCTGAGGAATTTGCCATGGGTTCCAGAGCTCACAGGTCTCAGAGCCTGGGATCCACAGCCACAGCTGCCCGACCTCAGAGGTCTTCCCTTCCCACTGCTTGTCCACATGGCCTTGGAGGCTTTCTCTAACTCAGAGGCATTGCGGGATGGAGGCTGAGCCTGGGAGCCTTTCTCTCCTGCCTCCTCAGCATCTCAGTAGCATGTTCCAGCATCATCTGGCTACTCAGGTACCATTCCCAGAGCTGAGCATGCGACCACCAGGGAGGGAGCTTGCCGGAAAGCAGAACTTCCAGCCCCACCCACCCACGCAAGCAGAATCTACCTTCTAACACGACTCCCAGGAGACTTGTGTTTATTTCAGTGTTTGAGAAACACTAGTCTAGTCACAGCACCAAACCCTCCTACCCAGGAACTGGCAGTGCAGCTCCTACAAACACAGTTATTGTGTGGTTTCTGTCTTTTTTTGGAGTGCTGGTGGTGGTGTCTCTCACTCAATCTAGGGTATGAACCCAATTTCCAGGGGGTTGGGTCTCAGTAGCGGGTGGGCGGGGACTGGAGTTATTGAATCATGAACCCTATCCAGTCTACCACAGACTTCTCCCTCCCACCTTCAGAAATACAGCAGATTTAATTAATTCAACGAATACCAGCCTTCTACGTTAATGGATTTCCCATTGGCTTCTCTAGCTCAACCAGTTTAAATCTGAACTGCTCAGCTCACCCCCAGATACAGGTCTCTTCTTGGATTCCATCTTTCTGCGGGAACTAGCACTGTCCTGCCCAGGCATTCCTTTTGGCTCCGCCTTCCTTCCAGATCTCTCACATCATCCCTGTGTTAGGGCCACGGCCTTTCTCACCATGCTCCCTTACACCACCAGCTCTCCTGGACAGTGCTCTTAGCTCTCAAACTTTCTTCTGTTAACTTCAAAATGAAAGCTTTTTTTTTTTTTTTTTTTTTTTTAACCAGCAAAAAATGAGTTCATTTGGAAACAGAAGAAAACTGCAACTTGGGACATGCAAGGCACTGCAAAACCGTAGGCAAGGAGATGACCCCTCTTTATCATAGAGGAAGGGTGCGGTGGAGTTGGGAGTTGTTATAAACTAAAATCCCACTGGAGCAAACTGGGAGTTCCAAGGCTTGTGGCTTCTCACCCCCTGAGTTGTGACTGTCTCCGATTGGCTGGGCTGTTGCTGGGGCAGAAGGAAACCTTTCTTCCTCCTAAAGTAGTGGGTTTTGGTTTGTTTGTTTGTTTGTTTGTTTTTCTAAAGTAGTGTTCTTGCCAGGTACTCACTTCTTGTTGGGGGAAGGGGGTGGGCGGGGGGGAGGTGTGTGTGTCTGCAATTGAGTGTGACTGGGTGTGCACCCCTGCTGGTGTCCCGACCCAGTGTTAGTGAGGGTTCACCCTCCCCCAGCCTCTGTGCTCTCTAGCACATGGCACTAGGCTACTGACGGTCTCTGCCTTTTGTATGACTCTAAATCACTCCTTTTCCCACTTAAAAACCATTAGTGGTTCCCCTTGGCCTACAGAACAGAGTCAAGATCTTTTCTGATTTGATTCTCTGCTACTTTTCAAAATTTCCTTCTGGTAGATCTTTCCAACTGAACCTTGCCAATTCCAACCAGGTAGAAGCACCTGCTGTAGCCTGAGCATCCCTTTGCTTCCTCATGTCGGAGCTCTGGCTCAGGTATTCAGTGGGCTGGCAGGCTCTTCCGCTTCGACCCTCATGGTCCCTGTGCTTGCTTCCCTGACTCCTGCTCCTGTCCCCACCCTTCCAATAGAAGTGATCCTTCCCTCCTCCAGGCACCTCTGTCCCTTTTCTGTACCTCAGATATGACACTTCTCATGATCTTCCTTGGACCTCGTATTCTTTCTACTGGAAGGCGAGCTCTTGGAATAAAAACCCCTTGTTTGCTTTTTTTTTTTTTTAAATAAACTTTTTCCCCAAAAAAATAAATAAAATAAACTTTTTCCCGCTATGACTTTTTTTTAAATTTATTTATTTATTCATGAGAGACACACAGAGAGAGAGGCAGAGACACAGGCAGAGGAAGAAGCAGGCTCCATGCAGGGACTCAATCCGGGACTCCAGGGTCATGCCCCGGGCAGAAGGCGGCACTAAACCACTGAGCCACCCGGGCTGCCCTCTTGTGATGACTTTTTAGTTTAATTGAACGCTTGCTGTGGTAAAACACATGTAAAACCTACCATCTTAACCATGTGTAAGTGTACAGTCGTCAAAGATAAACATAGCTGAACGTTTCTTATTCACAATTTTATTTAGTACTGCTGTGATGGGAGAAGCAGCTGAGCCTCCCTCCTGATTTGCCAGGGATGACCCAGCATTTTAAAGGGAGAGTCAGGAGTACACTTACAATGAGCACTAACATATAGATTGGTTGAACCACTATATTGTACACCTGGAACTAGAATAAAATAATAATAAAGATAAAGGGATAAAGGGAGAGGGGCACCTGGGTGGCATAGTGGTTGAGCATCTGCCTTTGGCTCAGGTCATGATCCCAAGGTCCTGAGATCGAGTCCCATGTCGGGCTCCCTGCATGGAGCCTGCTTCTCCATCTGCCTGTGTCTCTGCCTCTCTCTCTGTATCTCTCATGAATAAATGAATAAAATCTTTAAAAAGAGAGAGAGAGAGAGAGAGAGAGAATGAGGAGGTGGGGAAGAGCAGGGGTTCAGGCAGGGGCTGGGAAGTGAAACATGACAAAAAGGTGGTAAAAGTGGTTTTCAATGCACTTGTAGTTGGGCCAGCTCTGTCCTCTAACTGCATTTCTCAGAGGCTTCTACTCTTCTCTAGCGACTGGGAACCAGAGGGCTCATCCTTTTGGACGATTACATTTAAAAGGAATGGCTTTGGGGCACCTGGGTGGCTCAGTGGATTGAGCATCCACCTTCGGTTCAGGTCACGATCCTGGGGTCCTGAGATCAAGTCCTGCATCAGGCTTCCTGCTCAGCAGGGAGCCTGCTTCTCCCTCTGCCTCTGCCCCTCCCCCTGCTCATGCTCTCTCTTTCTGTCAAATAAATAGAAGGAATGGCTTTTAGGTCCTAGAGAAAGAGACTCCTGGGTTGTAGCAGACTCATCTCAAAAGAGGAAAGATTGACAATTTGAGGGTTTTTTTTTTCTTTTTAAGCACATACTCTAAGAAAGGGAGGTATTAATTAGAGGTTAGCTGAAAGAAAGGGTGAATTCTTTTGGCACCCTTAAATTTTTCCAGACAGGATCTCAAGGTGGGGGCTGCGTTGGCCCAGAGATGAGGGCTGCGACTGCTAGAAGCCCTGCCAGGGTCTGGTCAAGTCTCTTAGTACAGGTGTTTGAATAGAGTCTTGCCTGTGGAGAATTTATGGGGTTCTCTCCGGTCAACAGCATTGAGTACATGCCCACGGTTGTACAACCATCACCACCATCCAGCTGCAGAAGTGTTTTCATTCTGCAAAACTGAAATTCTGCGCCCATTAAACATGAACCCCCCATTCCTTCTTCCCCTCAGCCCTGGCAACCACCCATCCACTTCCTGCGTCTGTGAATTTGCTGACTCCAGGTACAAGTAGAATCATAGAGTATTTGTCTCTTTGTGACTGGCTTAATTCACTGAGCGTAATGTTCTCCAGGGTTCATCCATGTAGTAGCCTGTGTCAGAATTTGCTTCCTGTTAAGGCCGAATCGTATTTTTTTTTAAAAAAGTATTTTTTTTTATTTATTCATGAGAGATACAGAGAGAGAGAGAGAGAGGCAGAGACATGGGCAGAGGGAGAAGCAGGCTCTATGCAGGGAGCCTGATGTGGGACTCGATCCTGGGACCCTGGGATCACACCCTGGGCCAAAGGCAGATGCTAAACTGCTGAGCCACCCAGGGATCCCCTCGAATCTTATTTCATTCCCTTGTATGTATAGACCACAATCTATTTATCCATTCATCCACTTCAATTATTTCCACCATTTTGCTTTTGTGGACAGTGCTGCTATGAATGTATTTTGTATACAAATACTGTTTCAAGACCCTGACTTCAATTATTTTGCTTATTAGCTTTTGCATCTTCAGGGCTGGCCCCCTTTTAGCTCCTCAATAAATGTTTGTTAAAAAAATCTAGTTGAATGTCTTGGCGGTGGGAATGGCCATAAGCAGGTTGGCTGAGGCCCACAGTGGAGAGATTCCCAGAGGCCCAAGGGGACCACACAGTCTGTACCCTGGAGGTAACAGAGCTGGTCGCTGAGCTGACGGGCCCACTTGGAGAGGTGGGGCCCCTTAGCTGAGGCTCAGTCCCAGGAAGCTGCATGTCGATCCCTTGCTGGCCTCTGAAGCCTGTGGCCACAGTGAGCCTCTGTCTGCATGCTCTTTCTCCAGCTCTTTCACCTCCTTTATACCTGAAATCCTTTATCTCCTGCCCCACGAGGCCTTCCCCAACCACCACAGCAGCAGCAGCCCCATGGCCGCCTCACTCTCAAGCATAACACCCTGTTCGTAACTTTTAGAGCCTCATCAGAGGTTAGAATCATTCATTTGTTCACATGTTTATTTATTGTCTGGTCTCCATTTAAGGTCTGCTCTCTGTAAGCACCATGAGGATATGGGTCTTGTCTGTATCCAAGCAGTGCTTGGCACATAGTAGGTGGTATAAAAAAAAAAAAGGTAGAATGAGTAAGGATCAGTTTGTTTACATGAGGAATGTCAGCACCTCCAGTTGTAGTCTCAGCAATGTTGGGGAGGAGGCACTGACCCGAACCCTGATCATCTAAGACTCACTGGCCTGAGGAGAAGCTTGCAAAAATCCTTAGAGCAGGCAGCTGGAGAAAGGTTGATAGGTGACTTGGACTCAGGCAATCAGATGATCCAATGGAAAGCTGGTGGTCCAGGCAGAGGGTGCAACAAGGACATGGATCCTGAAACTGCGGTCAGCCACAGACTCCATTCATTAGAGGAGCAGATGAAAATACACAGGACTCAGCAAAGAGGAATCAGAAAAGAGGCTGGAGTCCCTAGGCTGGGGTTGGGCCCAAGGAGTGCTGACGGGAGGGCCCAGGCCATGAGGTTTGAGTAGGACCAGCCAGCAAGCCCTCTGTCTGTCCTGATTTGGGCAGGGTGATCTAGAGACTGGGTTGGAGTTAAACAGCCTCGGCATTACGATTACAGAGCAACAGGAGCCAGAAGCCAGGCAGGCCTATATAGCAAGCTTGATAGATATAGATATATAGATAAATATAGACACAGATATCTTTAAGCATGGTGTATGTATATTTTTTAAAGTTTTATTTAAGTAATCTCTATACCCGACATGGGGCTGGAACCCACAACCCCAAGATCAAGAGTTGCACGCTCCTCCAACTGAGCCAACCAGGCGTCCCAAGCATGGTATTATTTTTAAAATGGTGCTGCATGGAATATAAAAAACACAGACCCGGGATCCCTGGGTGGCTCAGAGGTTTAGCGCCTGCCTTTGGCCCAGGGCGTGATCCTGGAGTCCCGGGATCGAGTTCCACATCGGCTCCCTGCCTGGAGCTGGCTTCTCCCTCTGCCTGTGTCTCTGCCTCTCTTTCTCTCTGTGTCTCTCATGAATAAATAAACTCTTGAAAAAAAAAACCAAAACACACAGACCCTAAAGGAAAGTGTGAAAAAAAAGAACTGTGCTAAAATTTGGAAAAAAAAATTTTTTTTCATTGAAAGACAGCATATACAAGCAGAGCATCAAACAGATGCTCGCAGACCCCTGTTCAAAGCAACATCATTCACAATAGCCAACAGGTGAAAGTATCTCAAGTGTCCACCCACAGATGAATGGATTAAGCAATATGTACCTACCATGGTTATAATATTATTCTGTCATTAAAAAAAAAAAGGAATGAAGTGGAAGAGAAAGGGGATGGGGACTGAGCACCATTCAACAATGAGATCAGAGTTTCAGATTTGCAAGATGAAAAGAGTTCTGGGAGCAGATGGTGGTGATGGTTGCACAACAATGTGAACCTACTTATTTCCACTCAACCATCCATTTAAAAATGGTTAAGGTGCTAAATTTAATTTATTTATTTGTTTATTTATTTATTTATTTATTTATTTATTTATTTATTTATTTTTTAAGGCGCTAAATTTTTGTTCTTTGCATTTTGCAATTAAAAGCCGAGGAAGGAAACTCAGGTGATGCTACAACACGGATGAACCTTGAAGATGTTTTGCTCAGTGAACTAGGCCAGTGGCGAAAGGACAAATACTCTCTGATCCCACTGGCAAGGGTTTCCTGGGGTCGTCAGATTCAGACGGACAGAATGTAGAACGGTGATTGCCAGGGACTGGAGGGAGAGGGCACGCGAGGTTAGGGTAGTGTTTAATGTGTGCAGAGTTTCAGTTTGGGAAGATGAAAAATTTCGGGAAATGGATGGTGTTGATAGTTGTGTAACATTGTGAAGATGTTAATGTCATTGACTTGTACACTAAGAATGGTGACAGTGATACATGTAACGTATGTCTATTTTATCACAACAAAAAAAGAAGATAGCAGACGCCAAGGGAAAAGACCAGGAGAAGATATCCGTTCAGCTTTTATATCTGCATGTGTTTATTTATACTCACTAGAAAGAAGAAGTTTCTGGATCAGAGAACCAATTATTTGTTCACATATTGGTCTTCGTGCCAATTCCCAGCAGGCAACACACTGAGAGCCAGATGTATTCTTCAACGTACTCTTCATGGGGAAGGGCCCTAAAATTAATGGGTCTCAGAGCATGGCTGGAAGCAGCCTGCACCTCTGTTCCTCCCACCTGGATGTGGAAGGAGAGACCTTTGTTCTCCAATGTCAACAAATCCACTCTGGGGATGGGAGGGGACGGTCTCTGGCTTTTTACAACCGTTTAGAATGTAAACAACTGGCTCTGGGTTTATCACCTTTGGAAAATGAAGAGAAAATGGGTCTGGGGAGAAAGAGGGCATTCTCTGTCTTTGTAGCATGTCACTATCTGTTTCTCAGAAAGGTCTGGACAGTGCAGGAACCCTGAGAAATCCAGGGAGGATTGCCTCCCAGCAATCGCCACAACATATGTAACCAAAAACGGATTCATATACAGAATATTTAACTGACTCCTACACATAAGCCAGGAGAAGGCAAGCAATCCTATTTAGAAACGGATGAAAGAATGTAAGCTCGTAATTTCCAGAAGAATTCCAGTTGCCCAATGAGCATATGAAAACCTCATGAGACTTACTAATAATTAGGGGAATTCAAATTCAAATGGGCACCAACCACATACTGAAATATTTCGAAATCTAAAGGCATGAAGCAAAGGGTTATGTTGTCAGGTCATAGGAATCTGTGAAAAGAGCGAAAGCGCGATTCGACTTAATACAAAATGTCCAGAAGAGACAGGCAAACCTGTTGAGGGAGCGGGGCTCCCCACCCAGGGTGGGATATGTGTGACCTTCTTCAGGAAGTTTCCAGTTGTCTTAATGTTAATGCCCTGCTAGAGGGAAAAGCAATTTTTACCTTGACAATGGCAAGGCCTCCAGTATCTCGCAGGTCCTCCTTAGCCTATGAAAATCTTTTTGCTTACCTCCCCCAACTCTGCAAGTATTGTAATTGCCCCCACCCCCACCCCCCAACCCACATAGGCCCAGGGCAACAGCTCTTCCTGCCCACGGGTCCTGTCCCTGTGCTTTAGTAAAACCACCGTTTTGCACCAATACACATCTCAAGAATTCTTTCCTGGTCATCGGCTCTGGACCTCACCTGTATTCCAGAACTTCATCAAACCTAGAGGGAGAGCGGTGTAAAGGGTGAGGGAGATGGGGAGGGTGAGGAACGGGGGCGATGGCTAAGAAGAGCTGGGGTTCCTTCTGGGGTAATGAAAATATTCCGCAGTTGATTGGGGTCATGGATGTGCAACTCTGTGTGAATATACTTCTGACGGTCATCAAATCATATACCTTTTAAAAAAAGCTTTTAAAAATTGATTTGAGAGAGAAAGAGCCCAAGCTGGTGGGTTAGGGCAGAAGGAGAGAGAGAGGCCGATTCCCAGCTGAGCGGGGAGCCTGACTTGGGGCTCCGTCCCAGGACCCTGGGATCACGACCTGAGCTCAGCGCTCAACCACTGAGCCACCCCGGCGCCCCAACTTACACACTTTAAATGGGTGAATTATTGAATCGTATCTCAATAAGGCTGTTTTTAAGAGATGAGGATAGCATTTTCTTCTTATTGGACTACCAGAAAGTAAAAAGCCTGACTATTCTGTGTGTTAGACGAAGATGTGGCCGGAGAGATAGAAGCTGGTCCCAGGGCCGCAGGACATGTCACTTTGAAAGAATGCATTGGGTACTTTCAGCAAAGTTAAAGGCACCCACTCTGTCCCAACCTTTGCACTCTTAGGTAAAGAATCTGGGACATGTGCACAAGGAGACTTTAAAATCATGATCACGGAACACCTGGGTGGCTCAGTGGTTGAGCATCTGCCTTCAGCTCAGGCCGTGATCTTGGGGTCCTGGGATCGAGTCCCGCATCGGGCTCCCTGCATGGAGTCTGCTTCTCCCTCTGCCCGTGTCTCTGCCTCTCTTTGTGTCTCTCTTATGAATAAATAAATAAAATCTTTTAAAAAATAAAATAAAATCATGATGGTGGCAACCTTATCTGTAAGAGTGAAAATTTTAAGTGACTTCAATGCCCACAAACAGAAGAATGGATAAATATGTTTAAATCCATGTAATGAAAAAAATTTTTAAAAATTCATGTAATGGAATGCTATGTACAAACTTAGTACAAATCAACTACACGTATCACCATGGATACCGCTCACAAACCTACTGTTGGGTGAAAACACGTTTTCAAGAAGACACCTTCCGTGGACGGCGTTGATAGGAAGCCATGCAAAACAACGACAGACTTTGGTTATCACGTAACATACGGAGTGAGAGCATAAAGTACACCTGATATGACGAATAGCAAAGTCATGATGATAGTCAGCTCGGGAAGGAGGATGGGAAAGAGGACCAGGGAGGAGTATGCAGGGAACGTTAACTGTCCCTGTGCATTGGTTTCTTTCAAAATATTTAATGTCGACGTGGGGTAAGGCTGGCATATACGTATTTGCGACATTGATCTGCACTCTTCAAATATTTGCCAGCATGAAAGGAAAAGATGCAGTGAGGTTTAACATCCTCAGGCTGCAGGGATTTGTGAAGAGGATGAAAATCTGTAGGGCGGCAGCCAGAGCTGGAGGGGCTGCTCCCTCCTTGTCCCAGCCAGGCCCTCCTCCACCCCAGGGGAGGACCCAGGGAGGACCCAGGGAGCACGGTCAGGCTCTCTCCACCATCCTCCCCACGCGGTGGGGGGTGGCAGGAACCGGGGGAGCTGCTGGCGGGCAGTGGACGGTGCCAGATGCACACGCACGGTCTGTCCCTCCTGGTGTCTGGCCGGCAGGAGCGCAGGCAAGGCTCCTCCAGCGCTACAGTGTCCCGGGCCCTGCTGGCCTCAGATTGGAGCCCCAGGACTTTGCAGCAGACGGAGAGCCTGCCCGGAGGCCTGCAGCATTCCACGGGTGTCCAGAAGCCTCAGCTGCTTATCAGTGTTCCCATGGCAACGGTGGGGACCAGGAATAACACGGCAGGGGTGAAAGGTCAAGTCAAACACGGATGGATCCAAGCAGCTAACCCTGTCCTGGGCCTGGACTCTGTACCGGAGGCGCACGGGACAGTTGCTTTGAAACCAATTCTTCATTGCACCCCCAAGTGACCTGGTATTCGTGTCACTCCTCTTTTTCAGTCTGTTGCGTGGGAACGCTGGTTGTCCTCCCTTAAAGGATCCTGTCTCTTAACTCTGGTAAGTGTGCTCAGAGATAGCTTGCAGCAGGTTTTTTTTTTTTTTTTTTAAGATTTTATGTATTTATTCATGAGAGACACAGAGAGAGAGACACAGAGACACAGGCAGGGGGAGAAGCAGGCTCCATGCAGGGAGCCCAACGTGGGACTCGATCCTGGGACCCCAGGATCACACCCTGGGCTGAAGGCGGCGCTAAACCACTGAGCCACCCGGGCTGCCCACTTGCAGCCGTTTTAAACAAGCACAGCTTCCTGGCCGCGATGTGCTGACCTTAGCATGATTGGCAAGTTAGGCTCTGAAGAGTCGGAATAATTAACCTCAGAATAATGAAAGACTCAGAATAATTAGGCTCCCAGAAAGCTGGTGCTTGGGGGGAGCAATGGATGGGCTCCAAGTGTTGGTTTTCAAGAAGGGCATTGTCTGCGAATGGCTTTCGCTGTCTAGCTCCTGCCCACTCAAGTGTGGTCCTGGGACCAGGAACCTAAGGCCCCACCCAGGCTATTGGATCGGATTCTGCAGGTTAGTAGATTCCCACGTGATCATTCGGGGAAACACTCAGTCTGACAGCCTGGGGTGACTCCCTTCCAAAAGATCACTGGCAACGGAAGAAGATTTTCCAAAAGGAGAGGCACTCCCAGGAAAGTTCAGGAAGGAAAGCTTTTCTAAAAGCAACAGTTTCTTTGAAATGGCTTAAATTATCAGGTTTTTGTGGACTTTTCTTTTTTTTTTTTTAAAGATTTTACTTATTTATTCATGAAAGACACAGAAAGAGAGGCAGAGACACAGGCAGAGGGAGAAGCAGGCTCCATGCAGGAGCCCGACGTGGGACTCGATCCCAGGACCCCAGGATCACGCCCTGAGCCCAAGGCAGACACTCAACCACGGAGCCACCCAGGGGTCCCTGTGGATTATGTTTTGTACAAAGTTGTTATTCCTTTTCCCTCGCCTGTTGGAAACATGAGCTCCATTCCCAAAAAGAGGCAGGAGGGGCTACTGGTTAAAAATAACATGGATGGGGATCCCTGGGTGGCGCAGCGGTTTAGCGCCTGCCTTTGGCCCAGGGCGCAATCCTGGAGACCCGGGATCGAATCCCACGTGGGGCTCCCGGTGCATGGAGCCTGCTTCTCCCTCTGCCTGTGTCGCTGCCTCTCTCTCTCTGTGACTATCATAAAAAGAAAAAAATATATGACCATGAAAACGATCAATAAAACCAAGCAAAACTTAAAAAAAAAAAATAACATGGAAAAAAAATAAAAAATAAAAATAAATAAAAATAACATGGAAGTGCTGAGTTCCTGTTGGGTCATCCCCTTGTGTGATATAGGCTATGACCATGACCCCCCCATTCTGCCTTAGTTTCTCCGACTTTGAAATAGTCAAGATCATTTTCCAGGGCCTGCACCAGGACTCATAAACTGATGCTTTCAAGGACTTTGAGGTCCTTGGATTAAAGGCATGGCCCAGGCGTTATTGGGGCCAGGCTGCAAGGACTGGGCGGGCTCCTGATTCAGCAGCCTCCCAGCACTTGGGGCGCAGTGTGCTTACTTTTATCTCAGCCCCTGACTTCTCTGGAGGGACGGACCGGGAGGGCAGGCGGGTGGGGCCAGGGAGATAAAGCAGCTTCATGTACTGATGAGTCAGAGGAAGCCTCATTTGTGGCTGTCCCATCCATTAGTCACCCGACCCAGCGCTTCCACCAACGGCTCCGAGGAGCTTGAATTTCTTCCTTCACTTTGTGATGTGATGGGGGACCGTGTGTCCCTGTAACCCTGTCTCCCCGTGGCAGGGGCAAGGACAGAAGGACATTAGTGAGCTGCTGCAGGTTGCTCATCACCCAACACGTGGGATGGAAGTGAGTGAGTGGTCATGGCTCCCAAAGTAACTTTTTTAAGTATGAGTATTAAATAAAATGTTTGTATGTAAATGACTGTCACAGAATGTCCTTGGAGAAGCGACCACAGTTGGGCAGCTCACGGAGCAAGACATATTTCAGGTGGGACTGGTTTATACATAAACCGGAATTTCCCAAACAGATTAGTCCCAAACAGAGGAGGAGGAGCTGTGACTCCTCGCCTTTTACACACACTTTGGTTTTACAAAGGGGAGTCCTGGGTTCAGGGGCCCCTGGGTTGCTCAGTTGGTTAAATGCTCTACTCTTGATTTCGGCTCATGATCTCAGGGTCGTGGGATCCAGCCCCGGGTAGGGCTCTGTGCTCAATGGGGAGCCTGCTTGAGATTCTCTCTTCCTCTCCCTCTGCCTCTCTTCCCCCCGCTGCTCTCTCTCTCTCTCAAATAATAAATAACTAAATCTTTATTTTATTTTTAATTTTTATTTATTTATGATAGTCACAGAGAGAGAGAGAGGCAGAGACACAGGCAGAGGGAGAAGCAGGCTCCATGCACCAGAAGCCCGATGTGGGATTCGATCCCAGGTCTCCAGGATCACGCCTTGGGCCAAAGGCAGGCGCCAAACCGCTGCGCCACCCAGGGATCCCAACTAAATCTTTAAAAGGAAAAAAAAAAGGGATTCATTCTTGGGCTTTTAAAAAAATTTTTTAAATTTTTAAATTTTTATTTATTTATTCTTTTTATTCTTTTATTTTTTTATTTTTTTTAAGATTTTATTTATTTATTCATGAGAGACACACACACAGAGAGAGAGAGAGAGAGAGAGAGAGAGAGAGAGGCAGAGACACAGGGAGAAGCAGGTTCCATGCAGGGAGCCTGATGTGGGACTTGATCCCCGGTCTCCAGGATCACGCCCTGGGCCGTAGGCAGGCGCTCAACCACTGAGCCATCCAGGGATCCCCTGAGCCATCCAGGGATCCCCCTTTTTTTTTAATTGTGGGAAATACAGGTAGCATAAAATATACCATCCTCACCACCTGTAGGTGTGCAATTCAGCAGCATTAAGTGCATTGACATCATTGTAAAACCATCACCACTATCCATCTCCAGAACTTTACCTTACAAAATGGAAATCCTGCACCTGTTAAAAATACCCCCCCCCCAGCAGCCACCATTTAAATTTCTGTCTCTATGAATTTGACTATTTTAGGGATCTCATACTGTGTTTGTTCTTTCGTGCCTGGCTTATCTCATTGAGTATAATGTCCTCAAGTTTTATCCATGTTGTAACCTAGGTCAGTTTCCTTCCAGGTTGTTTTTTTTTTTTTTCAGATTCCTATCTTTTTTCTTTTCTTTTTCTTTCTTTCTTCTTTCTTTCTTTCTTTCTTTCTTTCTTTCTTTCTTTCTCTTTCTTTCTTTTTTTTTTTTAGATTTTCCTTATTTATTCACGAGAGATGCAGAAGAGAGGCAGAGATACAGGAAGAGGGAGAAGCAGGTTCCCTCTGGGGAGCCTGATGTAGACTCAATCCCAGGACCCTGGGATCATGACCTGATCTAAAGGCAGACGCTCAACCACTGAGCCACCCAGATGCGCCTAGAATTTCCTTTCTCTTTAAGACTAATATTCTATTCCAATGTATGTATGTACCACATTTTGTTTATCTATTCAACTGTGGATGGACACACGAGTTATTTCCACCCTTTTGAGCATTAAGAATAATGTTGGTACCAACAGGAGTGTGCAAATATCTCTTTGAGTCCCTGCTTTCAATTCTTTTTCGGGTAAATGCCCAGCAGTGAGACTGTAGTATTTTCAGGGAATTCTGTTTCATTTTTGAGAAACCACTATTCTGTATTGGTTCCAGTTTCTCCACATCCTTACCAACATGTCCTTTTCTTTCTTCTTTCTTTCTTTCTTTCTTTCTTTCTTTCTTTCTTTCTTTCTTTCTTTCTTTTTTTCTTTCTTTTCTTTCCTTCCTTCTCTTTCTTTTCTTTCAATTAGGTCATCTTACTGGATGTGAGATGTCTGGGTTCTTTTGAGCAGCAATATTTAAAAATACGATTCCATTTATCAAAAAACAATTTGTGCCCCAAATTGAAATGACTGTGTAAAGAAAAGAATATAGTAAAATCTGTGGGATCCCTTGGTGATACTTTAAAGGTGGGATGACGCTTAGGGGCAGAAGGTGAAGTTCGTTATTCACCCCAGTTTGTGGTCAGTCTCATTCTGAGTCTCACAAGGCTCCTCTTATATTTATCCCCTTCCCCATCCCTGTCCCCCTTGCAGGTCTGTCCTCTCCTACCACAGACAAGGTGATACGACTGCTGCATTTTGTTTTTGTTGTTTTTTAGTATTTTTTTTTTCTTAAGTAGGCTGCATGCACAATAAGAGGCTTGAACTCATGACGTTGAGATGGAGAGTTGCATGCTCTTATCAACTAAGCTGACCAGATGCCCCATGACTGCTGAGTTATTAACACAGTATTTTCATTAGGGGCTCACAGTTGTCCTTGAAATTTTTGAAAATAGCTTTCTGTTAATGACCTTATTGTCCACCTCTTACCTTTCTCAGTATGTGAGGGTCACAAGGCTTTGCCCTTAGCTCTCCTGAATTGTATGGAATAGCGTGGCTGACACCTGTAGGCCAATGAAACTGTAACTGAAGGCTGATTGGAGGTTATAGGAAGCACATTAGGGCACCTCATTCTACTTGCCAGGGAGCAGAGGGCTCAGAGGTAGCTTCCTAAGAAGTGACTCCTAAGCTGGGTCCTGAGGCTGAAGGGGGGTAGGTGGGGCAGAGGGGAAAAGAAGGAGGAGCATATGCAGAGGCCCAGAGCCAGGAGAGCCTGGCCTGGGGGAAGAGCCAAGAGGGGTTCAGCGGGGTTGGAGATGAGTATTTCAATGGATCAACTGTTCCGAGGGGCTCTAGTGAGGAGGTAAGGAGGAACAAAATCCTAAATGGCCTTAAAACCAGGCTAAAGTCTGCACTTTATCTTGTGAGGAATGCATAGCCATTGATTTTAAAACAGGGCAGGACACGATTAGGTCTTCTTTTTAGAATGATCGTTTGTACCCAAATGTAGAACATAAATTTCACAGGATGTGAGGAGGTCTCTTAGGAATTTCTGCTTCATCCTGGCAAGAGATGAAAAGAGCACTGGTAAAAGAGATAAAAGAGAAAAGAACACTCATTTACTCCTTCCTTCCTTCATTCACTAATTTGACATTCACTCAGTGTTTTTTACTGAGCATGTACTATGTGCTAGCATCGTATTGTGCTGTGTGCAGGGAAGATAAACTTGGTGTCTGCCTCTTAGCAAACTGAACATTCACTTGGCCACCCAGGCAGGTATGAAGGTAATCTCAGTTAGTGTGTAAGTGCTAAGATGGTACAGAGTATTTCTGGAGCATGTGTATCAAGAACATATTCTAAGAGATTTGGAGCTTCAGAAGGACTTCCTGAAAAACTTCCCTAAAAATTATGTCTCCACTAAGACTTGAAGGAAGAGCAAAGGATGGCCAGATGAAGGAAAGGGTAGAGAGGACTCCAGATAGATGAAAAGTAAATGCAACCACTCAGAGATGAGAGACATCGGGGCTTTCTGAATGAATTAAAAGGTTGGGCATGACTAGACCACAGGAACTGTTAAGGGATGAGGCTAGCGAGGTAAGCATGGACCCAATTCCAAAGGGCCTGCCAACCACATGAAGGAGGCTGGGCCCTATTAGTAATAAGAGGAGCCAATCTTATTGAGAGGAAGGTCAGATGGACCTCTTGGAATGATTCCAGGCTGGAGGATAATTGGACAAACAGTAAAATGGTAGAATGGACAGGACTTGGTGAACCATTAGATCAGGGGCTATGGAAGAGCATGGGAACTCCCAAGTTTCAGATGTGAGTGTCATGAAACAATAAGAGAAGGGCAGGTTTCAGATGGAGGATGTAAGTTCCATTGGGATGTGTTGATTTGGAGGGACATTTGAGTGGAATTCTACAGCAGGAGCTCTATGATATTCCACTCCATGGGGCATGCAGGATCCATGGTTGGTGCAGAAATCATGGAAGCAGGGGAGATCAGAGAGGCGTCTGCAGGGTGAGAGCAGAGAACTGAGGAAGGGTGTGGGGGTTTAGAGGAGGACTCTGCAGAAGAGGCTCAGAAGGGGCAGCCAGGGGTATGAGGAGAACTCAGAGGAAGGAAATGTGCTCTCCAAAGATGGAGTTTCAAGGAGATTGAAAGCAGGTGCGTCAACTGCCTTGGAGAGGTTAAGACAAGGATGATAGGTGGTCTTGCAGCCAGGCAAGAATGGGGGTGACTACACTAGGTGGGGGTGATGGGAGGTCAGAAGAGGGGCTAGGAGACAGTGAGGGGGAGGGCAACTCTGTCCTTGGTGGGGGGCGGGGGCAAGTCTCAGTCCATCCTGAGAGGTGGGGAGGTGGGGAGGTCGGGGGAAGGCCACAGGCATGAAGGGGCCAGGCAAGAGGAGGAGGCCAGTGGCCAGGAAGGGGAGACTCTGCCTGAGAACAGAGAACAGAGATGTTTAAGTGATTAAAGACCAGTGATTCTGGCTGGTAATGGTTGCAGAGCCACCAACCACATTCATTACTATTGCTATTGTTGACATCCAGCTTTGATTATATTCCCCCAGACAGAAAGCACGAGTTCAATAAATGTGATTTAATCACTTAGTGGACATTTATTGAACACTTCCTATGGGCCATGTGCTGGAGTTATAGATATAAATGAGCACGGAACCTGTTCTCTAGTATCTCATGTCTTTGGAAATGCCCTTTAAAAAGGCAAAGTAGGGATCCCTGGGTGGCGCAGCGGTTTGGCGCCTGCCTTTTGCCCAGGGCGCGATCCTGGAGATCCGGGATCGAATCCCACGTCGGGCTCCCGGTGCATGGAGCCTGCTTCTCCCTCTGCCTGTGTCTCTGCCTCTCTCTCTGTGACTATCATGAATAAATAAATAAAATCTTTAAAAAAGAAAAAGGCAAAGTAAACTCCAGGTTAGTTTCCAAAGCACAAAGAATGGAGACTTTCGTAATTTTTGTTTTATTGGGTACAGAATAGCATGAGGTTTTCGCCTTGACAATTCACATTCCCAAAGGTCCAAGGGGTTCAAACAGCATCGAAGGCAAACAGCCAAAACCCAAACGTGGAGTCCAGTGTGAGTGGGGCCCTAGCTGAGGAACTCAGTGTGGATGGAGACACAGGCCACAAGGCAGGGACTGGAAGATCGGGGCTGGAGGCACTGTGGGACAAGTTCAAGACCAAACATAAGTGGTCTTATCCATTAAGATTAAGAATGGGACAATTGGGGATCCCTGGGTGGCGCAGTGGTTTGGCCCCTGCCTTTGGCCCAGGGCACGATTCTGGAGACCCAGGATCAAATCCCATGTCGGGCTCCCGGTGCATGGAGCCTGCTTCTCCCTCTGCCTATGTCTCTGCCTCTCTCTCTCTCTCTCTCTCTCTCTCTCTGTATGACTATCATAAATTAAAAAAAAAAGAATGGGAAAATTGATTCTGATTTATTTGCTCTGTAGTTTTGGAGGGAAAAACGCATACATGAAAATACTAAAGAAAAATACATGAAAAAATGTTAACAGTGATTATCTCTTGGTGGAGGGATTATGGATAACTTAGTTTTCTGCTTCATAACTGGAGAAGCAGGGATCGCATGCCAGGCTTAACTTGGTCACACACTGGGAATGATCCTGTCATTTTCTACAATCTATCATTAAATTGAGGAATAGATCTGAAAGAGACCATGTGTGTGATATGTCATTTCATCTTGAAATTCTTAGGTAGAAAGTGTACCATGAAGGCAAACAAATATTAAGAGTTATAATTCTTAATTGTGACCTTTTTAAAAAAAATATTTATTTATGGGGCACCTGTGCGGCTCAGTCCGTTAAGCGTCTGCCTTCTGCTCAGATTGTGATTCTGGGATCGAGCCCTGCATCAGGCTCCCTGCTCGGTGGGGAGTCTGCTTCTCCCTCTCCCTCTGCCTCTCCCTCTGCTTATGCTCTCTCTCCCTCTCAAATAAATGAATAAAATCTTTAATAAAATGAACAAAAATATTTATTTGTTTATTGGAGAGAGAGAGAGAGAACATGAGGGAGAGAAAATCTCAAGCAGATCCACGAAGGGTGTAGAGGCCAACTTGGGGCTCGACCTCACAATCCTGAGGTCACCACCCAAGCTGAAGCCCAGAGTTGGACATTTAACCGACTGCATCACCCACATGCCCCTAAATTGTGACATCTTTATTCCTGAGAAGAAAAAGATTTGATGTCTCTGATGAGAGAGTGAGATTCTAAAATGAAGAAAGGTCACTACTAATTGGAATAGAGTTTTAAACGTCAATTTGCTGAGAGGGGAGTTGATCTTTTATTATTTTTTTAAAGACTTTATTTATTTATTTGACACACAGAGAGAGCACAAGCAGGAGGAGCAGCAGGCAGAGGGACAGAGAAGCAGGCTCCCCACTGAGCAGGGAGCCTGATGCAGGGATTGATCCCAGGACCCTGGGATCACGACTGGAGCCAAAGGTAGCCTCTAAAACCCTAGGAATTTTATATTTTAGAAGACATGCATGGCTATTCTTAAATTCAGTTTTAGTGGGTATTTCTGGATAGGTAGGGTGATAGATGGAAATCATGTCTGGGGTATAGATCCTTGTTTTAAATACAAATTCCCTTTTGTTAGCCTCATGGGAAGGGGACCTGCTTTGCTTTGTGCCAAATCTCTAAACAAAAGAAACAAGGTGTTGGTTCTACAAGTTGCTGCTTGTGTTGGCAGGTGGACACACACGCTGCCGCTGATGGAGAAGAGGAGCTTGCTGCTTTCCACACCCATTCCAGACTTGCAAGAAAGAAAACCTAGCCAGAAGCTGGAAGGAATCCAGAAGATGTGGACAAACCCGCAGCTCTCCCTTGAGAGAGAGGTGTGTTCTTTCATTTCTCATGTCTATTGAAGCCTTGAGAAGAATAATTGAGGGACTGCTTGCCTTGGAGGCATTTCACTGAGGCAAGCTCAGCCCTGGATCAGCAATGTTCCAGGCTGTTGGGAGAGACACACACACTTGCACACCTCATGTGTAAGATCCCCAAAACCACAGCTGTTGACTTAAGGCTTTGTAGACCCTCTCAACACTTTGGGTCCTAAGAAACCCAGGAGCCAAAGCCCTGGGGAGGCTTTTCCTTTCCTTGTCATGTCTTCAGAATAAATTGGGGTGAATGATTACAGCTGAGGTTGAGAACTGATTGGAGTCACTTTTAATTAAATTCTCTTGATGGAAACCACATTTTTCTTCTATAAAAACCAAATCTGAGTTTATTTTATTTTATTTATTTATCTATCTATTTATTTATGATTTTATTTATTTATTCATGAGAGACACACAGAGAGAGAGAGAGAGAGAGGCAGAGACACAGGCAGAGGGAGAAGCAGGCTCCATGCAGGGAGCCCAAGGTGGGACTCCATCCCGGGTCTCAAGGATCACACCCTGGGCTGAAGTTGGCGCTAAACTGCTGAGCCCCCCGAGTTTAAAACCCATCTAGAGGTCAACTTAAAAGTCCCACTGCCCTTCTTTTCAATGCAGGTGTCCATCAGGATGCTGTCATAGGGTGTTTCCTGCCAAGGGACTCAGCTTGACAAATCTGGTCACTGGAAGAAAAATATTGGTGAAGCTGTTCAGTAATAGACAATACCATTCAAGATATTTGGCCCCTCTTTAGCTCAGTTATTTGCTTCAGTGCAATAAAGCAAAGAGCTATTTTAGTCAGGATTTTTTTTTTTTTAGTAGATTTTGGCGTTGGTATAGAATATTATTTAGTTCCTAAAATTTAGGTCTATTAATGAATTTTCGTGTATACCGTGAGGTAAGGGTATACACACGCACATATGTATATCTTTTTTTTTTTTGCTTCACATTCTGTTGAAAATCAATTGATCATAAGGGTTTATTTCTGGACACTCTAGTCTGCTCCATTGACCCATCTGTCTCTACTTATGCCTATACAAGATTGTCTTAATTACTATGGCTTCATAGTAAGTTTTGAAATCAGGTAGTTTAAGTCCTCCCACTTTGTTCTTTTTCAAAATTGTTTGACTTTTCTAGGTTATTTGCATTTCTTTTTTTTTAAATTTCTCTCAATTTTTTTTTTTTTTTTTTAGATTTTATTTATTTATTCATGAGGGACAGAGAGAGAGAGAGACAGAGGCAGAGACACAGGCAGAGGGAGAAGCAGTCCCCACGCAGGGAGCCCAATGTGGGACTCGATCCTGGGTCTTCAGGATTAGGCCCTGGGCCGAAGGCCGCACTAAACCTTTGAGCCATCCGGGCTGCCCTCTTTTTTTTTTTTTTTTTTTTTTTTTTTTTTTTTAAGATTTATTTGTTTTAGAGAGAAAGAGAGAGAGAACACAAATGGGGGAGAGGGCGGGGAGCATAAGGAAAGGGAGAGAATCCTCAAGAGGACTCCCAGCTGAGCACAGAGCCTGACATGGGGCTCAATCCCAGGACCCTGAGATCATGACCTGAGCCAAAATCAAGAGTCAAATGCTTAATTGACTGAGCCATCCAGGTGCCCCTGTTCTTTGTATTTCATATGACTCTACCAAAAAAAACTGCTGAAATTTTGATAGGTATTTCATGTACTTTCTAGATCAGTTTAGGAAGGATCACCCTTTTAACAATATTGAGATTTCTAGTCTACGTACATGGTACATCTCTCCATTTATTCAGGTCTTCAGATAAATACCTCGGCAAAGTTTGGTGGTTTTACTGTGTATTTCTTGTACTTCTTTTATTAAATTTATTCCCAAGTATTTATTTATTTTTGATGCTATTGTGAATGAAATTATTTTTTAATTTTATTTTTGGATTGTTTATTGTTAGTATATTGAAATACAATTAATTTTGTGTTTTTTTTTATTCTGTGACCTTGCGGATCTGGTTTATTAATTCTAGTACGTTTCTGGAAATTCCATAGAGTTTTCTACATATAGGTTCATGTTGTACATGAAGTACACAGTTGACCAAAAGTGGTGAGAGAAAATATTCTTCCCTATTCCCAGTTTCAGCGAGAAAATATTATTTTTTTCTGTTTTATTTACTTATTTTCACTTTTTAACTTGTGGTGAAATATAAAAGTCATAACAAAATTTATCATTTTAAGCGTTTCTAAGTGTACAGTTCAGTGGCATTAAGTACCTTTGCATGATTGTGCGACCATCACCACCATCCATCTGTAGGACTCTTTTTAATCTCCCCAAACTGAAACTCTGTCCTCATTAAACACTAACTCTGCACTCCCCTGTCTTTCCAGCCCTGGACAACCACCATGCTATTTTCTGCCTCTACAAATTATACTGTTCTAGGTACTTCCTATCCGTGGAATCATACAGCATTTATCTTTTGGGGACTGGCTTATTTCACTGAGTGTAATGTCCTCCAGTTACCTCCATGTTGCAGACTGTGTCAGAAGTTCCTTCATTTTAAGGGCGAACCATATTCCATCATATGTTCAGTCTTCACTCTTAACTATCATGCTGTCAGGTTTTCATAGATGCCCTTTACCAAATTGAGGGACTTCTTTTATTCCTACTTTATTGAGAGAGTGTATCATGAATATAACTGGATTTTGAGCAATGATTTTCTGCAGCTGTGAGGATCATGTGAGTTTTTTTTTATCTTTTATTCTATTAATATAGTGAATTCTGTTAGTTGGATTTTGGATGTTAAAACAACATTGCGTTCTGGGGATAAATCCTACTGGGCCGTGGTGTGTAATCTGTGCTTCTAAGAGTTATAGAGTTCTAGCTCTTACGTGTAGGTCTATGAGCCATTTTGAATTGCTTTTTCTATATGATGAAAGGAAGGCATTCAGAATCATTATTTTGCATGTGGATATCCAGTTTCCCCAGTGCCATTTGTTGAAAAGACTGTTCTTTCCCCCACTGAAAGATCTTGGCAGTCTTGCTGAAAATCCATTGACTGTAAAAGTAGGGTTTATTTCTGGACTCCCAGCTCTGATCCATTGCTCTGTATTTCGATCCTTTGCCACACTCTGTTTTGATTACTGTAACTTTGTAGTAAGTTTTGAAATCAGGAAGTATGAGTCCTTCAACTTTGTTCTTTTTCACTATTGTTTTGGATAATTTGCATCTGGCATTTCTTAAAGTCCTTTTAACTTTGTCACCTGGGAATAATTGCCATCACTCACTTGTGATTTAGGGTTATGCACTGTGCCAGTGGTTCTTAAGCTTGGCAATACATAGAATCATCTAGGGAGCTACCAATAAAGGGCCCCATCCAAGACCAGTTAAATCAGAACCTCTATAATATGAGGTTGGAGCACTGTTAGAAGAACTGCCCAGCTAAGCTCAGCCCAATTTGCTGACTCTCAGAATAAGGAGCAAATGAAATGGTGGTTGTTTTAACTGCTGGGGCGATTTGTTACACAGCAATAGATAACTGATATGAAATGTGTATCCCAGTTTGAGAACATTTCTAGAGGGTCTAACCTTGACTAGAGAGTTTTACTTTAATGCTTTGCTTTTGCTATAGGAATATATGATACAAATAGTGTCTTCTCTATCATGAAGTGGGGAAGGTAGAAGTTTTAAGAAATTGCGCATGAGGTAGATATTTTAAAACTAAATTTTCAGAAAAGCTAAGCTTCCCTTGTGGAAGTTTCTTTTCTTCTCTAACAATTATTATCGAATCTCAAGTTTTATTTTTTTTTAACTGACCAGGTTTTCCTTTTTGGTTTGGCTGGTAGTAAACAAAAAGTAAATAAGCAAGATTTAATTACAGCAACTATATAATTCCTTATAGCCTGTAATTCATGATTTTTCTTTTCCTTTTCTGTTATTATCTTTTATTTTAACTACTCATATTTATATTATCTATGATCCTATCATTTTATTCAGATTTATACTTGGTCATGTTATTGTAGCTATCTTTGTGATGAATCACTTTATTTATTTATTTATTTATTTATTTATTTATTTATTTATTTATTATTTTATTTTAAGCAGGCTCTGTCCCCAACATGGGGCTCAAACTCATGACCCTGAGATCTAGAGTTGCATGCTCTACTGACTGAGCCAGCCAGGCACTCCTCTTTCTGGTAAATCACTTTAAACTCCTGGGGGAAAAAGTGGGGCATTAATAAATGCATATAAGACTTTGACTTTTCATTTAGAGAGCCAAATATAGTGTGAAGAACTTTCCATTCTCCATTAATATATGTTTGGAGTGCCCAGGTAAGAGATGATAACTGGATGAGGTAAGAGGATCAGGCAGGAAAACCTAGGTAAACCTTTAATAACTTGATCAGGAACAAGGATCCAGTGGGACCTGTCTACCATTCTTTAGTCATCTACTGTGCAAGAAACTTGCCTAGATCAGTATATTAAAAAACTAGGCTGGGCAGCCCCAGTGGCTCAGCAGGTTAGCACTGCCTTCAGCCCAGGGCATGATCCTGGGGTCCCGGGATCGAGTCCCACATCAGGCTCCCTGCATGGAGCCTGCTTCTCCCTCTGCCTGTGTCTCTTCCTCTCTCCCTCTCTCTCTGTGTCTCCCATCAGTAAAAAAATAAAATCTTTAAAAAATAAAAAATAAAAATAAAAAAATAAAAAACTAGGCTGGATAAGGATGGCTGCTAGAGTTTGTGGACTTTGTGATTATTTTAACATCTGTAAAATGGATGGAACAAGCCTTCTTTACTGGATTGTTGAGAGGATTAAATGAGATAATATACTGAGAGCACCCCCCACAGAGTGGAACATAGGCAGGTTTGTAAATATTATCTCCTTTCTTCATCCTTTTCCTCAATTAGATGCTGTGAGAACTTACCACAATTGTATTTGTTATACAAAAAGAATGTAATTTGTTGAGTGTGCAAATGAACTTTGCCATGTCTTGGTCAGAGGCAATTT